TTCTTCAGTATAGCTCTATACAGGCATTTAGTCATTCATGGCAGACAAGTACAAAGATGGAATGTATCTATAATGCCACAAAAATTAACTTTAAAAATGGAAATTGGAAAAAAAAAAAAAAAGAAAATAGATTATTTTCTAGGGAAAAAGTGTAGAAGTGTGCTGAATTGCATTACAATGTATATGCATACATTTAGTCAGCATCTGTGGCACAAGGAGGCCAGGATATTTAAAATTGCAACAGTGAGGCTTTTCAGGATCCCTGTCATCTGAAGACATTTTTATTATTTGCATACGGCCCCATTATGCACTGGAATTCACAGGAGTCTATTCCACACTGAGAAATATATTTTTTTCTGATGGAAACTACTGTTCTTCATGGTGGCTAGAAGTTACTAGACATAGACAATACCAAGCTATATTTTGTTTTCTTTTCTCTGTTCTTTCAGTTCTACAGCTCCCATCCTCTTCGTGTTCATAAAGGAATATGATCAGTTTGGTCTTTTTTTTTTTTTTTTTTGGCTGTGGAGTGATCTATCTCCTTAACAGGTAAAAAGTGTCCATTAATAACAAAGCTTTTTAGAGTGGATTTCTAATAAAATGTTGAAGCACTTTTTCTTCTTCAGCTTTAATCTTTTGAAAACATTACACTTAAAATCCCTACTTTTCCACAGAAATAAAAGGTAAATATTATTGTTATTGTTTTAAAATGTAATTTTGTGCTCTTCCACAAAAAAATAATAAAAATAATTTAAAAAAATCCAAAACAACAAAAATGCCACCAACACCCACTCACCTAATCAAGGTTGGAACAGACCTCTAACATCATCCAGTCCAACCATTCACCTATCGCCAATGTTTCCCACTAAACCATGTCACTCAGTACAACATCTAAATGTTTCTTGAACACCCCAGGGATGGTGACTCCACCACCTCCCCAGGCAGCTCATTCCAGCCCTGACCACTCTCTCAGAGAAGCAGTATTCCCTAACGTCCAACCTGGATCTCCCCTAGTGCCACTTGAAGCCATTCCCTTTAGTCCTATCGCTAGTTACACGGGAGAAGAGGCTGAACCCCACCTTGCCAACCTCCCTTCCAGTAGCTGTAGAAAGCAATAAGATCACCCTTGAGCCTTTGCTTGTCCAGACTAAACAACCTCAGCTCCCTCAGCCACTCCTCATAAGACTTGTGTTTCAGACCCTCACAGCTTCACTGCCCTTTGGGTCTCAGTGTCTTTCCTGTAGTTAGGGGCCCAAAAACTATGCACTGTACTAAGGTGCAGCCTCACCAGTACTGAATACAGAGAGATGATCACTTCTCTGCTCTTGATGGCAACTCTATTTCTGATAGAAGCCAGGATGCCATAGGTCTTCTTGGACATCTGGGCACACTGCTGGCTCATGATCAGCTGAGCGCTGACCAACACCCCCCAGGTTTATTTCCTCTAAAGCCACTCTTCCTGGCACTCTGGCCCAAGCCTGTAGTGTTGCATGGGGTTTTTGTTGCCAAAGTGCAGGAGCTAGTGTGCAAGAAATGAAGTGTATAAGAAAGTAAAATATTTTCATCTGAAAGATTAAACAAAAGGAGGAAACAATCAGTAAGATACAGGAAAACTGACTCTGATGACCAGTTTGCTTGCAAGACGTTTTATTGGAACCCCACATGAACAATACATGAGGTTATGTGAAGAAAATTGAGAGTAAATAGGTTTAGAGATAGGAATCAGGAAAATTTCTCAAAAGAGATAAGTGCAAGGAGAAGAGTTTCTCACACTTTTTGATATGCTAATGAAAATATCAGAACTACTGCACTTGCATACATCAAATTGTTGCATTCATTGAATCACACAATTGTTATTTATAAGGTACATATTGTACCATGTAACATGATGCCAAGGAGTGGAAAAGTCTTTATATTTCTGCAGTGATTCCCTGAGAAAAGCCTAATATTTAATTTATGTGGCTTCTAGTTTTTCACAGACATCATACTCAAACGATAATTGAGAAATCTCGGCCAAAAAGCCTTCCTAAAAATACGTACACAGCACCATCTATTGACACTATGAGGCCTTACAGGTGAATATTTTAGGCACGTTGAAGGCCTATGTTTTACAAAAGTGATGTAGTTTCCTCATTCGCATGGAATGGTTCCCACTTTCTTCCTATGGCCCTGTAGACTCAGAATGATGGTGATCCTTGACGCAAGAGTTTAACAGCTAAAAATGAAGCTAAATAAAACAGGGCAGTAGGGAGGAAAAATGAAGGAAAAAAAAAACAACAGGAAAAATGAGATATACAAGGAGTAGCTGAGTAGGGACATTGCATGGCTAGGAGCAAAAGTGAGAGTTCTCAGTAAAGTAAATTTTATCATTCCTGAGAACCCTGAGACTTCACTGTCTTCTGGCTTCAGACTCCTGCATTGTCCTTTGGGCCAGCTAAGCAGCTTATGAGTCAGTGCATCTTACCTACCAAAACAACTTTCTCTTCTTTTAGCCTGTCATTTTTCTGCTGGTTAGACAGGTTGAGCGGAGGAAGGGCCTGACTGAGATCAGAGCTGCTGCAAAGCTCCAAGGAGTATGGAGAGGGAAGGGAGGAACATGATGTTACTAAAGGGCTGTCAGATGACCTCGGCTATACCGTAATTTTACTCTTCCTAGGCTATATTGACCTGGTTTACTATTGTTGTGTAGACATATAGGAGTGTGTGCAAACAGGCAAGATGGAAATTCCCCAGGTGGGGTGAGCTGTCAGAGGAAACATAATGTGATCCTACAGCCTCAGTGAAGGAGTATTGAAATGGGCCTTAAGAGCAGAACACTGAGAAGAGGTAGTGTTCTCTAGTCTGCTAGCCCAGTAACTAGGATGTCCGCATGGCAGATGTAGACTTGCATTCAGCTCTTAGTTCCAGTTCTGCTAGATGATCCAACATCACTCATTTTTAACGTTATGCACACTGACCTTTTCAGACTTCACTCACATCTGCCCTGAGAGTCACAGATCTTTGTATACATAGCAGCTCTTCTGCCATGAGGATGCCACCGATCAGGCAGAGGAAAAGGGGATTGTGGCCCAAAGAGTGAGCAGCAAGCATTGTGGTGTCAGCGGGGAGGAGCATGGAACACAAGTAGAGCAAGATAGGGAATGGGGATCAGTGCAGCACAAAAGATAGGTATCATGGGTAAGATTTCTGCTTCAGAGTTTTGGTGTCATTTTGTACTGAATACCTTCAAAGCCACAGTACTCTTGATGTTTTAGAATATGGCATTTATTAGCATCTGTGCCATCTGAGAACCACCTGAACTGCTTCCAAAGCTACACTGCAAAGGCATATAGTTTTTTTTTTTTTTTTTTTTTTTTTTTTTTTTTTTTTTTTTTTTTTTTTTTGTAGATGCTGCTAAGATGGTCATCCTGCTGAACTCATACCAGTCACTGTGGACTTCTCAGCAATCTGAACAAAGGAGTTGTCTTTTTTATTACTTGTAAAGCCTTTTCTCAATTCTTTGACTGGAGCACTTTGGTCATATAATAATAATTTAACAATTTAAAGAAATAAGGTAATTCTGTCACTGCTCTAAGTTTCTCCAGAAGATTAGGTCATTGTTAAGTGGAGTGGTAGCATGGCACTGAGCACAGACTGTGCACAGAACAGGATGTTGTTGCGTGCAGGTAAACCTGCATGGATCAGCTTCCTGCATAACTCAGGCTATACCTTTTCAGCATGACCAGACTGGTATTTAAACAGAGATCACATACTGTTTCTCAGATTCCTGTAAAATCTTTTTAATTCTCTCAACCTGAGCAGTAAGTCAGTACTGCACATGTCTGTCTCAACACAGAAATTGACTGAGCACATGAAAAGTGTTTGAAGAATTCTGAATCACACCCAAAAAGCATCATAAAAGCATGGTAAAAGCATGGCAAAAGGCCTTTCCCCACACACAAAGAAAAATTTCCCAAAGAGAATTTCCTTTTTCTGAATTCTAGGCACGTTTCTAAGCCCCGTGGAACTCAGAATGCTTTCTCTTCATTTATCCTATGGCTGTAGGAATAGGATTTCTGCAGGTGTAGTTTTCTGATCGGCTGAGGCCCACCTGATCCTGCGGTGCTGCTGGAGGTGATGGCCCCATCCCGTTAGTGCTCATCTAGGTGTGGACTTGGCTGCATTGCAGAGTCAGCTAGGATGGAAAGCAGCCACTCGCTGCCGGGTTAATTTGCAGCTGGATCAATTCCCTCATCTGCCTGCATGCCCAGGGGTTGCTAACGTCCATACTTGCCACCATCTCTCAGCAACCGCACAGGCTCAGCTCGGATCAGTTTAGGCTGATCGTAAAGCCCCACCCTGAGGCTGTTTCTTTGCTGTTCTGGCTGATTCACCCACAAAGGCAGCCCGGCCCCGGAGCCCTGCCCTCTGCAGCCCTGTTCTTTGCACTGTTCCTTGCACTGCTTGATGCTGGTGCTTTCCGCAGTCATTCAACGAAGGGGCGTTTATCAGTCCCGTTTCTTCATCTGAAAGAAAGGCGGCCGTCAGCCATATAACTGCCCGTAAGCCGTTAGGGAATAACGAAGCGCTTTATTTCTAGCGCAGCATAATTGCACTGTCATTTTCACGCGTGCTCCCACAAAGGTACGGTGCTGCGGAAGCCCGTCTCTCGTGGAAATTACAGCTACGGACGAAGGTCAGGGACGAGGCAGACAGCGCTGCCTGCTTCCAGAGGTTCTGCTGCCTCGCTCCCTGCGCTCCGCACGCGTGAACAAAGCCACGCTGCCATCAGCAAACCGAGCACAGAAAGCAGCGCGTGGAGCGACGCGCCAACCAGGGAGCGGAAAGGCGACGGCGCTGCGACAGGCGGCCGGCGCTCTGCCCGCGGACCCCAGCTCCCCCCGCGGGCCGACCGCCCCCGCCTCGCCCCCGCCCGCACGGCAAAGGAGGAGGGGCCGGCGGGGCGCGAGCCGCCCGCACCCACCGCTCCCTCGCGAGAGGCGCCGCCGCCCCGCCCCCGCGCGCAGCCCCGCCTCGCCGCTGGGCTGCGGGCGGCCTGGCGGGGAGGGCCGGCGGCGGGAGCGCGGCGAGCAGCCATGATGGTGGGTGCCCGGGCGGCCGGGGCGGGGGTAGGGGCCGGGCGGGCAGGCGGGCGGGCGCGTTCGGCCTGTCGCTAACCTGTGCGCTTCGTCTCTCCCCCATCCCGCCTTCCTCCCTCTCGCCGGCCGTGGCCCGCGCTTGTCCTCGGCCCGCGCCGCCTCCTCCTCCTCGCGCCCAGCAGGAAGGCTCTGACGACGGCCCAGATTTCCTCTCGGAGGAGGATCGAGGTGTGAGTAACGCGGGGTGGCACTCGGGGAGCGGGGCCGGGTTTGGCCTCCGCGCCGTGGGCTCGAGGCCTGGGGCGGCCCCGGAGGACGGCCTCCCCCGGGCGGGGCCCCCCGCGCGGGTGTTTTGCTGTGATTTACCCTCGTCGCGGTCCCCGCGTTTCCAGGGGCAGCTGCTGGGGCTTTTGCTGGAGGGCCTGGGCACATCCGTGCGTGCCGCCGGCGCCGCGCTCGCTGTGCCTCCCCGCCTCCGCGCGAAGCCGGGCGGCGGGTCTGGGGCTGTGCGGCCCTGCGCGGGGAGCCACCGCGGCACCCTCTGCTCTCCTCAGGCCCCAGGGTTCCCGTGGACAACAAAGGGGCGTTTGCATTGCAGGCTGGCATTGCCTAATAAGCTCCTTATTGAACAGAAGTTCTGTTGTTGGGAGCGGGTGTCACGGTGATGTTCCTTACTGAGAAAACGCTTCTCTGACCTGCTCTTCTGGCCTCTGTTTATCTTCTCACATTCATCTTTAACTTCCGTGTCTAGGTTAAACAACAAATAGGCTAATCTGGTGTGGTTCATTCAGGCTGACCTATCAGGTGGTATCTTGAGAAGGACTGGGTGAGATAGGAGAGCAGCTGCTGGACAGGATGGCAGGGATTGACTTGGTTGCTGCTGCTTATTACAGGAGCTGTGTCTACTACGTTGTTAAAGACATCAAATCTGAACAACTCCATTGGTGATGTACGTCACACTCAAACATCAAGCGTAATGTTCAGTACCTTCTGATTTTTGACTGTAAGCGTGTGGTAGGAATTAAGTGTATTCTGTATATCCTTATATAGGCAGATAATTCTGTATATCCTATATAGGCCGATAATGTTAGAGCAAAGGGGAAGATGCTTTAAACTGAAAAAGGGAAGATTTAGGTTAGATGCTAGGAGGAAATTTTTCACTCACAGGGCAGTGAGGCATTGGCAGAGGCTGCCCAGAGAATCTGTGGGTACCCCATCCTTTGAAGGTGCTCGAGGCCAGGCTGGCTGGGGCCATGAGCAGCCTGAAACTGGTGGGGAGCAGCCCTATCCATGGCAGTTGTTGGGGCTGGGTGGACTTCGAGGTGCCTTCCAACCCAGGCCATCCTGTCTTCCAATTCTTCAGCCCTAGTTTGGAGAGGGTTTGAATAATATTTCACGTGTGTTTTCTTTGGTAATTAGGAACAGTACTGAAGTGCATGATTAGGTTGTTTTTTGTCTGAGGATGTAGATAGAATGTGTAAAACTTTCTTGATTGTGTTTTAATTTTCCCTTTGAGGCCCCAAGTAGTCAGAGTTCACAACGTAATTTTAAAGCCATTAGAAATCTCTTAGCAGTCTTGTTTGTGCTGTTGGACGACTTACATCATCTCAGTTGGCCAAGCGCAGTCCTCTCTTTCTTTCTTTTTCTTCCTCTCACTTCATCTAGCATCCAACACTGAGGAATTAAGCAGTGTCCTCCATTCTCCAGCTTTGGTTTCTTATTTTCAGTCGTGCTTTTTTTTCCCCTTCACACTATGCTCTGAAAATCCCTGGGTTTAAAACATAGGCTGATCATGATACAGAAAACGTCATCAGAAGCAACACTAGCAGTCTGTTCATGAATAGGTTTGTTGTGCTCTTATCTTCAAAACCCTAACGTTTTTCTCAGCAGTAGTAAAAATAAACAGCTTTGCATAGAGCATTTTCCTAGTTCTGGTTTGTTGCCTTCCTCTTTTTGTCATTCAGAAATGGTCAGTTGAATCTTTATTTGAAAGCGTGAATTACAATTTCTGGTTAGAGTAATTAGCTTTTAGTTTTGGAAACAAGTATTCTTTCCTCTCTGTAATTCAGAAATTAACAACTGTACTTTTAAATCTTCAGTACGGTGTTGGTCAGTTACAGATGTGTAAGTTTGATGTGAGGATGATGGGATGAAAGGAAAGCTGGAATTTATGCTGATGCCACATAAAACAAATTCTCTTAACAGTTGCATTATACCATATGGAGGAGACTTTTCTGGGTGATTGTAAAATAGAGCACTGAGAATCGTCTTTGAGGAAGTAGAAGTGGGTGGTCTGTAGAAGAAACTGCTTATAAATAGTTTTCATAAAATGAACTTGTGGGAACAGCTTTTCTAAATCTTGCTTAGGAAGATACTATTGAGTCCACTGAGAGTAACTCAGTTCCTGGTTGTATTTTGTTGCGTGATCTCTCTAATATAAACAACAAGCATTTTAGAAGGGCGGCGTAGTATTGCTCTACTATTACTGTTATGTGTATTTCATATCTGTGTATACCTCAGCTGACTTGGCTTATGCTCTTGTGTACTCATTTGGAGGAAGCGCGCTATCCCTTAGAACCGGTCTGTTAGAAACTTGATGCTGCGGTGAGGCTTGGTGTTCCTCTGTTGTAAAGTATTGTTTATTTTTCTTGCTTTGTGTATTTATCTGCCTGTGAAGAATCAACTGAAGAAAGGATCCTTGATCTCTAACTTTTCTGAAAGCTAAGGGTGTTGTAGTTAGTTGTTGTTGAAGGAAGACATTGCCTAGGAATGTAAGGTTTGGTTGTTTCCCTTGTCTCTACCAGCTTCTTTTTCTAATCGTATTAAGTCTAACTGGTCCTTAAACAAGTACTTAGATGCTAAATCTTCTTCAATTGCACTGCATTGTCTTAGTACTGTAACATCGTTTAGCCCTGTTTGGCTTCTGGTGTTTTCTAGACTTTCAATAAAAAAGGGACTTTGTTTGTATAGCACAGGAAACTGCAAAGCAGCTAAATTAACTTAGCTTAGGTTTTGCAAGACATTCAGCATAAGTGTAGAGCATGTATGTAAGCATAGAATGATTGTGCTGTGCTTTATTGGATTGAGAGGGGAGGGAGCAGAAAGGAGATGGAGGGACTTGTCCCACCCATATTTCTTTCCAGAACTTAAAATAGTTTCATTTTGGTCCAAATCAAACTTTGGAGAGTTTTGTAGCATTTTGTTTCATTTCCTATTCTGTTCGTGACTCAGAAACTACCAGTTGGTGGGAGCTTTCTTTTGGAGTAGTGATGGAGAGATTGCTTAAGTTTGTTGTGTGATGATGTTGTGATTTTAATTCCCAGTAATACAATATGAACGGTTGTGTCATATGAATAAATTTAGAGTCTTTCAACTTTGTGATTGTCTTCGACACCTTTCATTGAATGCTTCATTACCATTGCAGATGAAAACGTTCCCTGTTGGCAGTCAGGCTGCATAGCATAATTTAACATGTGATTAAAATCTTCAGGATCGTTACAAACTTAACTCAGTATAAATCACACAATTAGTCTTTTAAAAATGTATGCTATGAGTGAAGTTGTCATGGTTAAGTTTGTTCTTCCTTTTCTCAGTGGAGATGAGAATTTCCTTTTGAATGTTGTAAATAGTGCAAATGGTCCCATAGGAAATGCTGCTCTAGATGCTGCATAACCTCTTGTAACAAATATGAAGAGCTGTTTTACAGAATTGTAGAATTTTGTACTTTACCATTTTTGTTAGAAAGGAAAGCAAAATGTTTTAATAGAAATTGTTATGACCTGTGAAGGAATAACAATTAAAAAAAAAAAAAAAACCGACAAAAACCAGCGTTGTGATAATCCAGATTATTTTCTGAGAGTACTCAGCTGTGCTCCTTCTGTGGGACTGGAGAGAACAAGCAGTGCATCAAACAGTGCAACCACTAAAAAACTTTCTTACAAGCTGGGAAATTGTAGTGTCTTGACATAAGGCCGAGTTTGGTATGTCAGATTATATTTTTCTTTCCTAAATTAGATCTAAGGGACTTCAGAAGCACAGTAGGAGCTGAGAGATTCTTCTTCATAGATGTGATGTGCAGTGGGTCACTGCATGCTAATGTCACATCTTTGTGTGAGGCAGTAACCTCTGAACTTGAGAAAACAAAACAAAAATCCCTGTGTCATGTGTGGGAATGTGTCACTATGTAATCACTTCCAGCTTTGCTGTGAGGAAGAAAATTCTGCTGGTGAACCAGCCTTGCAGGGTTGTATGATTTGGCTTAGTTTAATACAGTAATTGTAAGCTCAAGTAGTCTGATTGCTGCTGCGTAAGGAGTGGAGTTGTTTGTGCACTGAGAGCAGAGTGGGAGCTGGCCACTGAAATTTGCAAGACGTTTAAGGTAAATGATGGGAAACAAGGTGTGATGGTTGATGCTTCTGTCCTGATGTTTTTCCAGCATGTTGCAGAGTTCCCTTCAAAATTTGCTTGTGTGCAGCCTTTGTGCTGCACATTGCTGATAATTAATGCGTTTTTGTACTTGAGTATGGACTTCAGAATGCATTCCTGAGAAATCTTGTAGGAAAAAGTGCAACTTTGTATGGAAAAGCACTTTTATACTGAGGAACTTGGTATTTCTATAAATAAATACAACATGAAAGGAAACCGTTTCAGTAAAAAGTGAACATCACAAGCATGACGCTGAAATAATTTCTGGCACTGCAATTGTAGAAGACTTCTGATTTGGCCTTAGTAGTTGTAAAAATATTCAGAATGTTGGTTGCTCATGACTGAAATTGTTATGGGACAAATTGCTTTAAAACAGGAGTCCAAGTAAGGTGAAGTTAGTTTCCCTGAGTAGTGGTGAAGCCTTCAGTCTAGCTACTGCCAGGAATGGCCTCTTCTGATCGCTGTGCTCAGGTAGTTATCTTCTTTGTATTTGTCTGTATTTGATTGTCTTGCTGTCTTCTTTCATGACTTGAAGTATATTGTGGGAGTTCAGATTTCATGTCCCGTGGAAAAAAATAAAATAAAAAAACAGGGATTCCTAGCCTTATTACCATTTCTCATGCTATTTCTCAAGAGATTATCTTATTTTTTTCAGAAAAAAGATGTCCAAAAGGACAGTTCTGTGAACTTCAGAGGATTTTTTGTTTGTTTTTTGTTTAGCTCTTTTGATCTATCTGGGGCATCTTAAACAAAAGGATAGTGTAAGACAGTGTGAGCAAACCAGCTCTTTAATAGCTCTTCCTTCTTTGAAATATAGGGCTGCTTTTTTTCTTGAAGGAGCCTTTATGACTGTTAGTTACTTCTTAATTACCTTACATGATTATTTAATGTTGCTCTTTTAAATGAATTATTTTCAGTCTTTTAAAGCTGTTCATCACTTTAGATTGGGTCTCTTCTCAAGGGAAGTATAAGGGAAATGCAATTAACATGTTTGTATGTTTAGCTGATATATATAAGCTAAATAGGTTCTTTCTCTTTGTTTAGCTTAGAGCAATAAATGTTGATCTCCAGACTGATGCTGCTCTGCAAGTGGATATCTCAGATGCACTCAGTGAGAGGGACAAAGTGAAGTTCACTGTCCACACAAAGGTAAAAGCCTGGGTTTGTGCATTGAACGTTTTCTTAGTTACAAAAAAGAAAACTTACTTAAACTGTGTTTATGAAGCAAGCGTAAAATATTCCAAAGGAGATGAGAGAACAGCATTATTTCATGTTTAAGAGACCATGTAGCAGTGGTGCTCAAAGAAATGATGACAAAAAATGGAAGTTAAAAAAAAAAAAGTGTGGAATAAAGTAACATTCTTTTTTTGTACTGACATGTTATCGTATGATTTCTATGCCTATTAATCAGCCTATTTGTAGGTAACCTCAGGATTTTTCAGAGTAGTTTTTTTTCTTAGGCTAGCCATGGTTTCAAATTCTAAAAATGCATTTCATAATGGAATTATATTCGAGTCATTTTTAATTACAGCTTGTTTTGACTTCTTTTTTTAAATTTGTTAGTTTATTGAGTGCAGAATCACAGAATAGTTGAGGTTGAAGAAGATCTTTTGAGATCACTTAGTCCCTTCTCCTCTCCCTACTTCCACCATCGAATGAGAGAAAAGCAGAGCAGGTCTCTTAAGGTTTGTCCAGTTGAATTTTGAATATCTTCAAGGGTGAAGACTGCACAATTTCTTTGGGCAAACCATTCCAATTGCTTGATGCACTAATTGAGATGGAGTAATTATTGCTGTATGAGCTTTTGGTAAAATACTTGCCTTGATGCTAGAGTTATTACTATTATTATTTTACAGGGATATACTTTGATATTTTTTTTCAGGATTCTTTTAATATAGTAATGAAAAACTGTTCTTTGTTGTTTCACAACTCTTCCTCCTTTGCCCTTTCCAGAGCTCCTTACCAAATTTCAAACAAAGTGAATTTTCCGTTGTTCGGCAACATGAAGAGTTTATTTGGCTTCATGATTCCTTTGTGGAGAACGAGGACTATGCTGGCTATATTGTAAGTATGACAGTTCCTTTGTTTTATGTGTGCTGGTTTCTGTGGACATGAGAAGTACTCAAGGCTGCTTTTAAATCTGGTGGAAACAGCGGGTGTTTGTTCCTACTAAAATGAGATCAGATGCTTTACTACTTCATTTTATACAATTACACAATTTATGTTTAAAGCAAACTTGGAGGAAAATTACTGTGGTTGTTATTGTCTTTTAATACTAAGGAGTGAGTAGCTTAATCTATATCCTAGCATATTTTTATTCTACAGTATTGAAGTGTGGGAGACTGTATAACTTGGTAATATTGTTTTTGTAAGCTAATGTTTAACTTAGTTGAGAGCTTCATGTTGCCTTTGTTTTATCTGGAATGGCAGAGTGCAGTAACTGAGCACTAGTAATTAGGCTTTTTCAGTTTCCATTTTGAAGATCATTTTACCATAAAACAGTTTGAGGGGGAAAAAAAACTAAACCCACTTTAAAAACCATCCAGAAGTACAGAGCACGTTAATACATAAGTTAACAACTTAATGTTTTGTTATTTATTTTATGCATCCAAGGAAGATATGTCCTCAAAATAGTCACCTTATAATGGGATGCTTATTAAAAATGGATGCTGCTGCTCATACTTTAGTTATGGATAGAAATATTACTATCCTGGTGTGAAAGTTAAGTGTTTGTGTTTGGGTGAGAGGGTCTACTGATTCAGTTGGTAAATGTATTTCTAATTGACTAATTGTTACAATTCTGATAATCTGTGATGTCATACTATTCTTGAGCTAGTCATTTTTAGTAAGAGCTATTGGGAGTGACTGGGCTTTGATCTCTAGTAACTAGTTTTCAACAGTTGTCTGAGTAAATTCTGGATTTTACTAGTTCTGTAATTCATTCATGTAATGGAAAAATATCAATGAACTTAAATTTGAACACATTTTAGCTTTTTGTTCTATTTCTCTTTATTCATAGCAATTCAGGATCAGTTTGTCTGCAGTGTTTTCTCATTCAATACTGTTATGACAAGAGCCTGGGGACTTGTTTGTTATGTGCTTTGTTATTTCAACAGATATATCTTTAATGTCAGCAGTGCCACAAGAAAAAACTGGTTCCTGCAAGCAGCAGAACATAGGGCTTTTTTATTTAATAATTTTGGGAGTTATAAATGGTGTGAAAGAAACTGTAGAATTCTTTCTTTCTTTGAAGAAGAAACAATCCATACCAAATAACCTAAACCAAAACTGATTGTAAAAGAACAATTTTGAGTTTTAATTCCTTGCATTGGGAAAGCTAGGTATTGCTTGAATTCTGTTGAAATTAAACTACGAAAGCCATTTAGTTAGCTCTTGAGTAATCTTCAAGGACATTTGGTGAAAATTGGCACACTAATTCCAGATATCTAACTCATTCATGAGAGGATTTATCCATAAATGCTTTAATAAATGACAAAAGAGAGAGCCATATATTAAAAAGCTGCAGGCAACTTCTCAGACAAACAGTATCCAATCAGTAAGGGAACAAAAGTTGAACAAATTAAAAAAAATTATTTGTTTCTAGATTCCACCAGCGCCACCCAGGCCTGACTTTGATGCCTCAAGGGAAAAATTGCAGAAGCTTGGAGAAGGAGAAGGATCGATGACTAAAGAAGAATTCACTAAGATGAAACAAGAACTGGAGGCGTATGTAGACTTGATTACTACCTTTTTTTTTCCCTTCAAATTTTAGTGCTGTTGGCTGTCCCATGTTTCTGATTTCACTGCAGTGGTTCTCTGTGAGATAAAAGTTTGAGAACCAAGGTTATCTTAGTGATCATGATCAGAGCCATTAGGAAAATTGTAGAAATCACTGCTTAGAAATTATGACTGTTTCACAGATGAGCTTCTGAAACAGGAAGAAAGTCAGCTTGTTCTTAAGAATTCTTTTATAAGGAAAAGAAAAACAACAACCTAGTTAGATCCCTTTCTTCACAGAGCACTTGGAAAGGGAGGAGGTAGCCCAAGTCTTTTTTATTTCTGGTGTTCCCCATTCTATAAATGTAACAAACAATAAGTTCTATGCATATAGTGATTGAACTAGGCATTTTTGCATGTGGTTGGTATTGTGAATGTAGATGCCAACCTTCTGTTCCCTAAGAAACACAGCAAGCAATTACTAGAAAATCTTTTTTTTCTTGAAATATTATTTTTTTTGCACAATGAGAATATACTTCCTGAAAATAGCATCTTCACATACTGCCAATTTAGCATGTATTGAAACATTTGAACTAAGTCGTCTTGTTCTATGTTGAGTTACACAGTGAACTTTCTCCTGGCTCCTTCTACTTTCCTTGTCATGCACTCACTTCTTTGATCTTTTTTCCTGTCATTGGTTTCAGTTTTCAAGTGTATATTTACACTGCTTCTAGACTACTTCTATCAAGAGCTCTGAATTGGCAAGAGAAGTACATAGAACTCTTAGAACTGATGTTTTCTCTCCAAACGCCAGCAGCTGTGAGCAAATATCTTAAAACTCTGTGTTAGTGTTGCATACCACATAATTTATAGCAGAGTAGATATACACTTCGTATACAGAGAACTGGAAATTAGTAAAACACTACATTTTAAAGAATCTGGTTTTCCAGCGGCCCTGATCATGATTCTCTTGTGGTCTGGTTAGGGGTTGGATAACACAGAAAACTTTGAGTTTCTTCTACTGCCACCTCCATCCTCTGCATCCTCCTTTTTTGTCTTCACTGAATGACTACTACTCTCACTGAGATCAAACATCTCCCAACACTGGCCCTGCTGGTTTGCTGGTATGTAAATCTTAACCTCCTCACACATAGTGGAAGCAAAAGTGTTATCATTTCACTGTTTGACCTCAGAATGGGGAAAAGAGCCCCTTCCTTGTTTCTAGAGAAGTTGCATCTTACTGATTGAATTTGCAGAGCAAAAAGAATTTTGGAAAACTTGTAGTAATAAAAATGCCATCCTCTTAATTAAATCACAAATGAATATTTCCTTGAGTTGGTTGATCTGAGCAACTACATAACTGTAAAGGTTAAATGTGATTGTTTTGGTTGTACTTACCAAAGGCACTTAATTTCACTTCTAGAACCACTGATTCTAGAATCAGTGAAGCAAGACATCCATGTAAGATTCTGCCTAAAAAGGCTAAGTACTTTATCATGGAATAAGAGGCTGCTATTTAAAGAGCTAACCAAATGATATGAATGTTGAAGTAAGGAAGGAGGGTGCAAATAGGCAAGGGGATGGAGATGGGGAGGAAGGAAATTGCGCGTCTGCTGTCTACTAACTAATGTATCTCGATTTCTTGACTTTTGTGAAGGCAGTGAAAAGGCACAATTGAAATTACACTTGCAGCAAACCTATCTGTGTGTGTTAGTATTAAAAATTAAATTGTATTTGAGTCTTCTTTAAAAATCTATCAGTAATATGTTAGGACTTTGAATTTCCCCCTCATATTAACGTTATACTATTTGTTTTTATATGTGTGTCCATATATATATATATATATATATATATATATATGTATCAGAATGATAACCTCTACTATGTCAACTTAAATTTTGTGTCCGTACTGAGGATCTCTTAAAGCTTCTCATTGGGCTTACCTCAAATTTTATTGCTTCAAGTGAAATTCTTAATCTGTTCTGTTTTTTGTTTTCAGCGAATACTTGGCAATATTCAAGAAGACGGTTGCAATGCATGAAGTGTTTTTGTGTCGTGTGGCAGCACATCCTATTTTGAGAAAGGATTTAAATTTCCATGTCTTTTTGGAATATAATCAGGACGTGAGTATTGAAAACTAAATTGCTGGCAAGAAAAATCAAGATGTACTTTTATGGTGGTGTGGAAAATTGATTAAAAAAGCATTACCTCCTGGAGCAAATTGCATCAGTTCCTTCATACTTGACATATTTGTATTTTAAGTTACAAGTTCATTAATGTCTGTAGGAGTTCATTCTTCTGCCGCCTGAGCAACCAAATACTCTAGTGTCAAAATAAAAAATATTAATGGGAATCTATTATGTTTTGGATTAAAAAGATTAGCTTTTTGCTGGTGATTTCATGTGGTGTTACAATTGTCTGTTCCTTGACTGAAACTTGGGGTGGGGTGTGGAGTTGGTGGAAAAAAAAAAAACAAAACAAAACCAAAAACAAGCAACAACCAACCAAACAAAAAAACCCCAAACAACAACAAAAAACCCCACATCAGAAATTTTTTAGAATTTAGAACAATGGTTTAAATTCTGTTGCTTACAAAACCAGAGGATTTCTCTTGAAGCGTTATGATAAAGAAAACTCCTCCTCCTCCTCTCTTTTTTTTTTTTTTTAAACAATGTCAGTGAAACTAATTTTTTTCTGGAGGTGTAGATTCTCTGGCTATCCAAAGAATCTTATCTTATGTTTTATATTGAGTTATGTTATATACTTAGTTGTTATCTGAGTTGATTGAAAGGAATCTGTCTGAGTTTATAGTAGCTGCTTGGTGTTAGAGTTGGTGGTTGCTGGTTCTGCAAATGTATTTTAGTTGCTTTTTTAAAATTTCAGAAATCAACACTGAATGTTGAAGTAGAAATTTTGGCAAATACTGGTTCGACTGAGTACATACTTACCTTCAAAATGTGTTACAGAGAATCCTCTTGTTGTTTGACTTAGAAATGCCAGCTTTTTAAGGAACCCAATTTTCTCAAACTTGACAAACTTAAATGGGCAGAAAAAGTGTGAGTAGACTGAAACCAGCTTATATTCATTGCTGTGAGGGATTAATGCTTCTCGTTTCTCAAAGTGAGAGACTTGTCATTCTACACTTAGAAGAGCAAAATCTGGTATATAACTCAAGTTATACTATCCATGATAAATACTGTATTATTGATAACTGGCATGTATGTCATTAATTTGATATCATATATATTTGCTAGAATATTGCTGAATTTTATTTTATTTAATGGAAGAATATGATAGGTATGAAGGACAGTAATAAATCAGAGTAGTCTGATTCTGGGTGTGTGCTGCTCTATTTCCTTTAATGCAGAGCTTGGGTAAGTAGAGAGCAGGAAAACTGGTTTAGAAGCAGCAAGCTTTGGTATGTCTTTCTATATTTAGAAGAAAAAAAAAGCTACTATTGCCTCCAGCAAATGAAATAACTTGATATATGAATTTGTTTTTTCAGTTGAGTGTTCGTGGGAAAAATAAGAAAGAAAAACTGGAAGATTTCTTTAAAAATATGGTTAAATCTGCTGATGGTGTCATTGTTTCAGGAGTAAAGGTAGTTGCTACTTAATGTATCAAAATTACAAATGTATTAACATTGTCTTTGTCTTCGAACGTTTCCTAATGTTGAAATAATGTTTTTATAACTAAAATACTGCAGAAGCAGTTTTTTTGCCTTTTTTTTTCTGGTATTAACTTTCCGTTTGCAAGCAAATTAATGGAGCTGAAGTTCCTAGTCATAAAATCTTGAATTTCAAATTTGCTGGACAGAAGGGGTAACACAGGATTAATTATGAGGTGGAAAAAAAATATAAAGTTCAAATAACCAGCAGTGGTTACTCAAAAAGCACGTTGTTCAAAGCCTGTATTGTAGTCTATTAGGTATTATTGAATATCCGTGCTATTTTAGAATTTTAGTTTAAGCCACATATCTTAAATGGTAATATGGTAGCAATTTAAATTTACCTACATTTGCGAACTTAAATCTGTCATAAAGGTCAGTGCTGTTAAGTTTGTGTTGTCTGTATTGTGACCATTTCATTTGCACAATTGAGTATCTTACTCTCCCATCCTGCCTTTTTCTTGGTTAGTGTCATTGATTAAGTGCCTGACATTTATCCTGTATTTCTATCAACAAAGTGATAGGTATTAGTGAACTGATTTTCTTCTCTTCTGCTTTAGTTACTTAGACGTTTGAAATGCTTGTCACAAATTTGTGATAAAACATGAGATCATGATTAAATAAGGAGTAAAACAGTTTACACTGTTTCATGATGTTTTAGATAAAAGCAGATTTCATTTCATGTCACAGTAACAGCAGTATATCCACGTTTTCTATGCAGTATATCACATTTTGCACTATACTGAATGAGTGAAATCTGAGTTTTTTTAAATTCTTTTTTTTTCCAGGATGTGGATGATTTCTTTGAACATGAAAGGACATTCCTTGTAGAATACCACAACCGAGTCAAAGATGCTTCTGCCAAATCTGATAAAATGACAAGATCGCATAAAAGTGAGTTCTTTTTTCAGAAGGAGAGCTGTTCTAGAATGCGCAGAAGTGATTTGTAAGGAGCAATAGTTTTTACTTTTTAACAAGAAAAGATGAGTTTCTCACAGTATAGTCTTCTATTATTTTCAAAATTTAACCTTTGCTATAGCAGTCTGGATGGAGTATGAACAGCATATTTCAGTGCTGAAGGTCTCTTCAGTCCCTTTGGAGACAAACAAAACTTTATGTACTTTTTTTTTCTTGAAGATTGATTCTTAGTCTTTAAATTGTGAAGTGGGTAATAGAGCATTACTAGTGATTTTACTCCTAATGAGGTTGCTCTCTATTAGTTAAGCTTGTGGTTATCAGAGTGCAGTTTCTTAGCACACTAGGCATTGCATTGACTTACTGAGTAGCAAACTCCTGTTTGGGCTGTTAGTTATAGTCTGGGAGATCTGATTTCCATTTTTCAGCCTTCTAGACTGGGGATTGGAATTTGTATTCAGTAGCTTGGTTTGCAAGACCCCTTTTGTTGCTGAGGTGGAATTCTCTGATTAGTTGTTGATTTTTCTTCCAAAGAAGAAGCTAGCTAATGTCATTTTTTGAAGCTGTAGATAATTTTCTCAGTTGCTTTATGCCTATTTGAGGAAATAGGAAACCTTTGGTTTAGGAACATATAACTGTGTTTTGAGAAACTATGAAAAGCTTGACTTTCATTACCCTTGATTTCAGTTTTTTAGACTCAAACCCTATATGTCTATTGGCAACTTCTATCAAACAGCAGTGGGAATTCCCATAACTTGGGAAGCTTATTTTGGAAATGGGCAATCTGTAGTTCATTGATAACGCGTTCATGATATACAGAGAACTTCAAAGCTTACAGTGCAAATGTCTTCCTATTTCCAGCAGAAAATGTATTTGATGTTTAAGTGTGAAATAAAGTTGACATTAATTAACCTTAATTAACAGTTAATTAACCTTAACCTATAACAACCTTATACCCTTCTTCACTGTGACCAGCTACGCTAATTAGCTTGGGATGTATGGAGAAATAAATTGGATAGATGGTGACCCACTCAATCTTTTGAACAAAAGTCAAAGCTTAATGATGAGAATTGCTTCTGAAGAAGCAAGAAAGAATTGATTCATATGTTTAGGGTAGTTCATCCAGAAACTTTTCAAATGTAAGCATTTCTGTAAACAACGAAAGCAAGAAAAAAAATATAGTTTCCTATTCATTGCTTGGATCTGTTGAGTTCGCACTAGAAGTTTTTAAAGAAGCAATCTGTGTGTAGCTATCTCGCTAGTCAGATGAGGCAGCCTTCTTCACAAACTCTGCTTCTGATTTTATTGTTTAAAATGTTTTAACTCCAGTTCCTCTTCAACTAGTAACTAAGGGTTTCCTGAAAGTTAAACACATGCAAGAAAAATTGTGCATATAGCACTGTATTTTGGTAGTTCACAGTTGATATGCAGTGTAATACCCTAAAGCACATGGATTTTTCTTTTTTTTTTTTAAATAGTTCTGGACTTCAGATTCAAATTTAACTTTGAACATCAGCTATTGAATCTGTAAGTTTTCTAAATAAGCACAATAAACGTACTCAGCAGGTGCTAGTTGTAATTTATCTAGGGATATTCAGTACAGTCTTTGCAGTTTGGTAAGAGAGCCATGTTTGTTGTGTGAAGTTCATAATACATGACATAAATTAAATTTTATTTCTGTTTTTGTATTAAAGCATGCTCCTTGTAGGAGGAAAAACAAAACAAAACAAAAGCCAGAACACTCTTGAAGAAATAAAGGAACTTGATTTCCAGAAAGGAGAGAGATTAAATAGTAAAACTAGTGCTTGCTTTTTTCCTAGATGTGGCGGATGACTATAATAGAATTGGTTCTTCATTATATGCATTAGGAACACAGGACTCCACAGATATATGCAAGTAAGATTTTGTTAATAGCTTACGGGGGAATTTGCTAAGTAGCAGTCTTAATGATGACCTGCTGAGTTTGGTAGCACTCTTGTTATGAGAAGAATAGAATTTATTGCAGATATATCCTGTTAAGAGATTTTCTTCACTAGCATTTCTGTTCTTAATGTGAGACTGCTTTAATATTATTGCGTTTCCTGGGAAAAATGCCATTGTTTTCTGTAGTTTGTAGACAATGAGGGGAAGAGCCCTCACAGAACAGACAATGCCTCAACTCTCGGATTTTTAAAGTGTTTAAAGTGCTTCAGTGAATGCAACAAAGGTGTATCACAGGTCTGAGTGTACAGATTTCTTGGATGTTCCTGTAACAGCATCTTGAAAGATAACCTTGCTGTTCTGGCAACTTATTTACTGCCTTAAGGGAAGTAAAGGAATGGAAATTCCAAAAGCTTTGAAAATAGCAGGAGGATTCTGTGTACGGATGTGTCTTTCACTCTTCCAGTAGTTTGCTTGAATGTGAACTGTTTGATATATCTGAAAGTAAAAATTAACTAGCTAAAGATGTTAGTTAATGCTTGTAAGCATTTACTAGTGTTACAATAGATAGGTGTGTAAGAAAGGTGACTTTTTTTTTGTAATTTTACCTGATTTATAATTTTATACTTCCAAATGTTGTGATACCTTACAGATTACTGTAATGATTATAAACAATTACTTTGCTTATAATAATGAGATTTAATGTAGTCTGTTAGAGTCTGTTAGGAATCACAACTCACACTGCTGTTTTCTGCATTGAACTGCAGCTCAGGCATTGCATAAAAGCAAGGGAGAGAGTGAGCACCTGTCTCCTGTCAAAAAGAAACTACTTTAATTCAGTCCGCTTTTGTACCAAACGTGTGTATCATCTCCTGTAATGAAGATCTGCTGTGCTTTTCAAGCTTACTGAATTTCAAGTAGGGCATGCATCATGTTTACTCTTTAGAGAAAAGTTATGAAGGACAGTTGGTAACTGTAGGACTGTTAATCAGGATGGTGGTGGTTTGGGTTTAATTTATAGAAGTTAAAGGATCTCTGAGGAGCTGTTCAATTATTCTGTAGTAAAATCCATTCCTACGTTACACTTTCTCTCTTACCTTTTCTGAAGTTGTACAGTTCCCAAATGTTTCAAACTGCAGTACTTCAAACTCTTAATGTTCTTTAGATTCTGTAAATGACATTTATAAGCAGTGCATTTACAGTCTTCATTGCCATACACAGACTGTGTTTTGATTTATAGAAAGCTGATTAGACTGTTCAAGTTAATATTGTAATATAAGCTCTTTCCTTCCTACAGGTTCTTTCTGAAGGTATCAGAATTATTTGATAAAACAAGGGTATGTATCTTGAAACCTTTGTAGATATATTCTTTGTATCTATCTTTGAAGTACCAGGATATCTTGCGTCAATTATGCATTAGGATGGAGATGTTTTATGGACGCTGTGATATTGAATATGTAAGCAGCATGCATTAGGGAATGAAAAAGCATAAATTTTCAGTCATCTGTAAAATGATTGATCTTTAGGAGTACTTGGTCTACTAAATTTTTGGCAGTCTTCCTTTCTTCTGTGTAATAAGCTAGTAAAGGTGCCTCTGCAAATGCCTAGGCTGCTTTTCATACTTTGTATTGGTTATCATAAAACTTATTAAAGAAAAAAAGAAATGTAATCCTTAATTAAAAAAAAAGAAGTGGTCATGTTGCTTGTTTCTGAAGTTAAGACCTGTTTCTACAGATGTCACAAATCAGGAAATGTTTTGAATGAAAAGTGTTACTTTCCTAAACTGAAACAGTTGTATAGGTGTATGTAGGTACTTTGTAGTACAGTTGTATTGTGTACTTTGTATACAGTTGTATTGTATATGTAGGTACTTTGAAGGAAATGGAAATTCTGAAATTACTTGCTTTGATCTCAAATGTTAGTTTTTAGAATTTTTTAATGTAAAATTAAGATTTTAAAAATGCCTTTATGCACTCTAAGTTCACAGAGATATGTTTTAAGTGCAATAATGCAAAATACAATTTTACAGAGTAGTATTTTGAACCATTTATTGCAGTTCAGTTACAGTTGCTCTACTGGAGTAGAGCCTTAAAATTTGTTTTCATTTGATCTTGAAAACTACACTTGTACAAGTCTTCATACCAGATAAGTTTTTGTTTCTCTTCTATATTTTTTTTCCTAGTGTAAAATAATAATAGGAATTGGGAATAAAGCTTTTTTGTTTAAAATAGAAAGCCAGTTGTCACATTTTATTAGCAAAGACTAATACAATTTCCCTTTATGCACGTTTAAGAATTGTCTCACAAATGCATGATTAACTGTTGAAAAAGACAATGACTTGCACTGTTGCATAGTTCATATTGTACTCACATCCTACAAATATATGTCTGATATCTAGATGTTTAAATCAATGTTTTTACTTACTGTTTTGTTGTTTTTTCCCAGAAAATAGAGGCCAGGGTATCTGCTGATGAAGATCTTAAACTTTCTGATCTTCTGAAATACTACTTAAGGGAGTCTCAAGCTGCTAAGGTAAACTTATGTTTTGTGTTTGGTGGATTGGTGTCCTTTTTTTTTTTTTTTAAGAAAGGGTGGGTGGTGGGAGAAATAGGCTGCTTTTTTTTTAATGGAGAGGTTGAAATAATACCACCTCCAGCCTGCTATTTTTCCTTCAACTGTACAAATTTTATCTCTGTTTTATATAAGAAATAGCAGTGCAGTTGTTTGGGCTGTATGAACCACTTGTCAAGGCTAAAACATGCAGTATAATTAAAAACAGAAGAGCACTTGATAAATTCTTCAAGCTGTAGACTGCAAGCAGATTTGTTTTGTTCATTTTAATATTGAAGATAAATACTCCAGGTTCTCTGCAAGCGCTGATAAAAAAAAAAAATGTGGGAGATTGGATATTCTGTACCTAAAAAGACTCATTTTTATTGTTGCTTGATATAAGTAGAATATGGAAGCATTTGGCAGAAAGTGTCTGTATTTAGATCACACCAATAACTGCTGCAGAAAAAAAAATACTGCTATTTCTTGAGCTGTGTTTGTATTTCTGATCTGTAATCTAAATATAGTTTGTTTCTAATCTAAAAAGCTGTTAAATTTCCCATGATTGCCTTCTCTCAGACTTTTTGCAGTATCATCTAAGCCATCTGGTGCTAGCTTCTGTCAGACAAGATGCAGACCAAACAGTATTAAATTGCATGCCTGATCCAGCGTGGACGTTTCTGTGACTTGCAGGATGAAATACAATGTATGAAAATAATTTAGTTAGATATACAGGAAGAAAGGTTAATTTTAATCTAATTTTCTTTGTTACTTTGTATATGCTAAAATGTTTGAGTACATTAGTGTAAGTTCTGTATGGCCTTTATCCTTTATAGGATCTCCTATATAGAAGATCTAGGTCACTAGTGGATTATGAAAACGCTAATAAGGCATTGGATAAAGCAAGAGCAAAAAACAAAGATGTGCTGCAAGCTGAAACTACTCAGCAGATATGCTGTCAGAAATTTGAGAAGATATCTGAATCAGCAAAACAAGGTATTTGGGTAGCTTTTGATCATGTGTTACTACTTGAAAAATAATGGATTTTAAGTTACTATTAATGAGAATAAGATTTTGTTCTGCGTTTCCTAAGCAAGGGTGTTATTTTTTTAATTAGTATTTATTTATTTATTTTGGACAATTCAAATGATATTTTCCTCTGGTTCTGATAGCTTCATTTTGTTGTAATTGCTTGGCAGAGCAAAGTCTAGGTGCAGATTATTTTTTACCCCTCTCTTATTTGCGTAGACTAGGATATAAAAGGACAATTGCTAGCAGTAAAGGCAAGCCTGATATTTTTGAGTTCTGTTAAAATTTACCTTTTGGTTTTATGCAGTCTGTTGCAACAATGATATTAAAAAAGGGAGGGGTAATGAAATGATGTTTTACTGAAGATGTAGAGTTACAGTAATTGTGAAGGAAAGCAGTATTATTTACATGTTAGCCTCTTTCCTGGAATTGTACTCCTTTTTAGGCTTAGATTGTTGTGGGTAAGTAGTCATCTGACTCATTTGGGACAGATTTGTACAAGGTTCTTCTGTCTTCATCAGTTAAAGGAACTGTTTGACCCTGGAAATCTGGCTAATTATTCTTCTAGATGAGACATCACTGACCTCTTTCTTCTTGAAGGAAAGTCGAGGCACTAGCAATAATACTGTTAATGAATCCAATCTTATTTTATATAGAATTGATAGACTTCAAGACAAGAAGAGTTGCAGCATTCAGAAAAAACTTAGTGGAACTAGCAGAACTGGAATTAAAGCATGCTAAGGTAATTATGGTCCTTTTTTGGCCTTTATTTCAACTAGTTTTAAGCATTGAATGCTTGAATAACCAAAACACCTGTGTTAGTTATGTGTGATATATGCTTCTGCATCCAGGGAGAGGAGTTTGATGATAAGCATCTTCCAGAAAGGTAAACTTTCTACAACTTTCTTAAATAATAAGAATAATATTGGTAAAATATATCTCAGGGCCTGGTATGAATTGTCTTTAGAAAACTTATCCCTTTGAAGACAGTTTTGACTGCGGTTTTATGTTTCGCTAACTCTTTGGTATTTATTGCTTTAGCATGAGTACCTGCCAGTTTTTAAAATCTCATCTTATGATTTTTTTTGTGAGACAGAAAGTGTTTTCTCCTGTTAGCCAGATGTTGGGCACTTGACAAGTAGGACAGACATAAGCATGAGATTGTATGAGACTTGTATGAAGTCAGGAAATAAAGTCAGATCAGTTCTGTGTGTACACTTTTGGAACTCTTTTTGCCTTTAAACTAAGCAATGCTAACAGAAGACTTTATTTTGCAGATGCATGTGTAGGTATACTTTATTAGCATATCAGACTTTTTAACAGTGGAGCAAGGGAGTGTTGAATTAAATTATTATTTTTTAAACAATTAGTATTTTAGGCCTGTTCTGTGTTTCTTAATAATTTCAAGCAGCTGTAGCTTACACGTGTTCAAGCATGTTGTGCAAAAGCTGTGTTTAAATCTACTCAGTATTTTACCATTGGATTTTGGGGCATTCTTTTGTTGTGCTTTCATGTTCAAGAAGGGAGGACTGATAGTCTGAAATTTGGTGAAACTTCTAAGGTATACTTAAAACATTTAGAGCCTTGGCTGCACTTTGTGTTATGACAGGAATTTTAACTAAACTACCTCCCTCAAAAAAAAAAAAAACCCACAAAGATTTTTCCACAAATCTGAATATATACTGTCTTGCCTTTATGGATTCTGATGTAAAAAACAAAAACACCTTGTTGCCTTACTGCCTTACTGATAACAGATGTCTGTTTGGAATTGGCAGAAGAAGGAAGTAAGCAAAATCTACAGCTAAGGGATTTGGTTAAATGCTTTGTCAGAAGTCCTTTGTTCCCTGCTTCTGCCACCACAGTTTACCAATAACTGTAATTTTTAGTGCTCAGGAATCTGAGTTGGTAAGAAATACTTTTCTGAATGTGAAATTGGAGGACTTTTGAGCTATGCTGGTGCAAGTCAGGTATATAAAATGTTGCAGCTAGAAAGAGCAATGGTGCCTCTGTTGTCCTTCGTTTACTATAACTTAAATAAGGTTATTGTTGTGAACTTCATAAATGTAATGAAAACGAATAGTGTGCCTGTGTGTCAGTAGGCTGTCATACTGAGACTGGAAATGACTGAGGACCTTTTTGTGCTATGTCATAGCCCGTGAACTACAAATTATTTCATGCTCCTGCTGAACTGTAAAAAGATAGGCAAAAGATTACTTGTCATACTTCTGCTGTAGGTAACAGGCATGCAGTCCAGAAGTACTTCAAGCTGAAAATGAAATCCATTCCATTAATGACTTTGTTACTAACTAATAATTAACTGTTATAATAATAGAGCCTTTAGATTTATGAATCCTATACGCTGCAAAGATGGGCTACCAGGTCCACATACATCTCCTGTATATTGAGCTTGTTCATATCACAGAATTCAAACCAAGTGAAGCAGCTTGTGACTGCCCCCTACACTTATAAACACAAAAGAACAAAAAGCTACTAAAGCTGTAACTGAAATACGTCTTCTGAATAAGTCTGAAAAGGGTTCAGTGGACTTAAGTAGAAATCTTCTGTTTTAATGTAGTTAATTGCTTAATGTGGATTATAAAAAAACCTTACTAGAGGAGAGAGCTATGATTTCTGACCTTTTCAGGCAGAGAAACGAGTGTCCATATCTACCACTTGGTAGGCTTTCAACTGTGAAAAAGTAAGAATTACCCATTCTTAAGTAGTTGTGTGGACAATTTATCAAGGATATGCAAATTACAGCTTTTGATACTGATTAATTACAGTTTTTTTTGTTTGTTTGGAGACATGTTTTCAGGTTAGTTTTTGGAGGATTTTTTTTTTTTTTAAAGGAACCAGTCTCTCCCATGTTTACAACTCGGCATTCGGAGTGGTTTGTCTTTGTGTTTTGCCTGAATCTGATAGGAATTGCATTTAGCAGTTAATAATCTATTATTTCTTACAGAGAGGTTTCAGATTGGGGAACAAATATAGTACAGCTATTTAAGAGTGAACAGATGGTGACGTAAAGTGATTGAGTATAAATGAATGCACAAAACAATGTGAATACAGATATATATCATTTTCTTCTGTGAAGTATCTCCTGGCTTACCAGCAGTTCACCTGTGCATACTTGGCAGTGGTAGCTTTTTATCTGCTAGCTCTGTAAATTCAATTAGAAATCTGAAAGTCAACCTGGTAGAGTTAGAATGCTTTAAATATCATTTAAAAACTGACATACAAAATCTGTTTGGAAAGAAGGGCAGAACTTGACTGTAGAGATGAAACTTAGTTAATGTTCTAATAATGCTTTCTGTAGTCTCAGCCTTGAAACTTTTGTGGCTAAATCATGCAGCTAAGCATATCAATCTGGGGAGAAGTCTTTTATGCCCATCCTTGAAAAGAGCTACAAGCTGAAATGGCTGCTATCAGTAGAAGATTGCAAAGCACTGGTTAACACTCAGTGATAAAATCAGCATTCTTTGCATGAGTGCTTCTGTTTTGGGAATGATACTGCAGTGACAGAGTAATGGCAACTCTGTGTAAAGAATGAAAACTTTACAGCTTTGAACTTTTTTTGCTGAGACTGCTCTGCATAGAATAGTTGATATGGCTAAACTAGATCTTCTGTGAGAAACTTGTGAAAAAAACATGGAAATGGTAGTAGTGCTTATTTTTGAATTTCAAGTTTCATTTCATGACACAGCGTTCTTAAAGTCAACAAAAATCTTTTCCTTAAATGTCTTCACATATACTTAATGTGTATCTGTTTTCCCTCAATGATGAACGTTGTTGCTGTTTTAAAAAAATCATTTCTTGTACCTTGAATGTGGAAGGAAACGTGGTCATATTTTTCTGTATTTTTACAGGGTAACTTACAGCTGCTGCAGAGCTGCCTGGCAGTGTTAAATGGTGACACATAAGCTACGCTCCGTCCTCCCGCTAACAAGGGCTGCCCTCCTGGATTTTGTTTTCATGACTTTAAATAGGCATTTACAGTTCCCTGGAGAAATTGTTTGACAAAGTGCACATAAGTGAGCTCTTCCTTTAAAAAAAAAAAAGTTAAAGACCTGAAAGTAGCTCAAGACTATACAAAGCAACAGCTTACTTGTTATTCATGCATATTCATGTTTATTTAATCATTATATGCTTTCATTGTTCAGAAACCAAATGCTGTTTTTGTGAAACTAGCCAATATAATTATGTACATGTTATGAATACTATGATACAGCTGCCAATCATTTACCTTTGTAAGTAATTTCTGAAGTTCACCATTTGACGTACATTGTTCAAATGGCTTAACTATTGACCATTAGATATTTGACTATTGTTACTATAATGCATTGTATACACTGTCTTAGTTTTTTCCATTTACTGATATCAAGAAACTTAATCTTTTTTTCAATTGTGAACATTTCTTAGAAGTTTTGAAGAACTTTGTGTAACCTTTATAACTATGATTTAAAAGGAAAAGCAAATACATTAGTATGTTTGCCTTAACTTGTAGACTAATCCAATTATTGTAAAATAAACCATGAAATCAATGATTTTTCTAAAATTATGCAGACATTGTATCATCTATAAGCTTAATATTTTCTAGTAAATCAGATTAAGTAGATTTTTGTTTGTTCATCCTGTAAAATAGGTACCAGATTGATTTGACATGAAGTATTCGCCTGGTAATTTTTCACTTGCATTCTCAGGTTTACCCATTTGCCTCTGTTCATCTGTGACTTTCCTGTCAAGCATAGCTTTTTTTGACCTTAGTGCTGACTTTGCATTTTCTTTGGCAGAAGTGTTTTTTAAGGGAGCTAGCTGGTTTCTTTCCAGAAGGGGAAAATAAACTGGCAGAAGGGTATTCAGTAGAAAAGGTAATACTCCCCCACTTTGATAAAAATGAGAAGCTTTGCTTCAGAAAATAAGTAGTAAAGGCATACCCAATAAAGGAATGCCTGAACTGTATCTCCTTCTGCTAACTGGATTTAGAGCTCTGTTGTTTGAATTCATGGTCATTTGTTGAATGCTTTCTCTCTCTCCCTTGAACCACAAGTCCTTTCCAAGAGCTGCTGTTTTCTTGTATAATCTCAGAATGTCATAAAATTAGGCTTTACTTGATTAATTATTCATCACAGCGGGATTGCTGCTTTGTATGGGTTTGTAGCCCTTCAGCAGGGCAGCAAAATGCCAGTGAATGGCTTTTTTTTGTTTGGAGATGCCGACCAAATGTCAGTGGCTGTCTCTGTAATTACACTCTCCGGTACTGCTGCATGGAGGGCTAGGTTTATTTTCAAATAGGGTGAATTGCACAGTGTAGTAAACCACAGCACTGCACATGGAATGTTTCTAAGACAGAGAGGTTCCTCAGCTTCACGTGCTCTTTGCATTGAGTTGCATAGGCATAGCCTCAGACATGGTTATCAGTGCCCAGGGGCTATGAGCAACTCACGTCATGTATATACTATTTTCTATTACTGGCAACTACACTAATACTGTGCTGTTCATCTTCCAGATATAAAGGTATAATTCCTAAGGAACTCATCTATAAATAGACTGTAAGGGACAAAAGACTACAATGTATATACAGTTAACACAATTGTAAATATTTTAAGTAGGATTGTGGGAACAGTTTTTAGACTAGTCCTCGTTGTTCAGTGTTAGTAGCTCATTAAATTTTTTTCAAGCCTCTTGGTATTGGGTGTGTCTCTTCAACCTTCAGCCTGACCCTAGCGCGCCGCTCCGGGCAGCACGGCGGGGCGGTGCTCGGCGGGGGGGGCGCGCGTGTCCTCTTCCGGGGGTTGGGGTTGGGCCGTGCTGCTTCCGGCGGAAGTCGCGCAGAGCCCGGAAGTGGCGGGAGCAGGTCGGCAGTGAGGGGCGGGGCGCCGCCATGAGCCGCCTGCGGGAGGAGGATGACCCGTACGTGGTGGAGGAGCCCAGCGACGAGGAGCGAGCGCTCAGCAGGTGCCGCCCTGCTCCTGGGGCGGGTTGGGGGCTGCCGCTTCCCTCTGCTGCAGGTTTTGGTCTGTGTCGTACTGCCGGTAACGGAGGAGGCCGCTGAGGGTGTGAGGGGTCCGTCCGCCACAAGTCACGGCAGCGATCCCATGGAGCCCGGGTGTTTGCCTTTGTACTCCCCGACACACCGAGCTGCCGAGTGCTGCAGCGGCAGGCTGCACTCAGTCAATTGCTCCTTTGCATTAAAACCAGTTAGAGTCTGAATAATAAAATAGCTCGGTGGATTTCGCATAAATGCACGGATAAGTGCTCCTCGGTATTTTCACGCAGCTCAGATGGTGGTTGTCCTAATTAGTCAGTGTAGTGTGCTGTTAATAATACTTAGGTGTGTGATGTTTGAATATCTGTAGCTCTGAAGATGAGGTGGATGTGCTCTTGCATGGCACTCCTGACCAGAAGCGGAAACTGTTACGGGAGTGCCTGACTGGGGAGAGCGAATCTTCCAGTGACGATGAGTTCCAGAAGGAGATGGAGGCAGAGCTCAACACCACCGTGAGAAACATAGAAGGCAAATGGAAATCATCAGAAATGGGTAAATCATTCTCGACGCCTGCTCGCCTGTGAAACTGAGGGTTAAGTGGTGTCCGGTTAAGGAGTTGATGTGCTCTCACAGCTGAGGAGGGATTCGCAGTGGCAATGGAGTACTGTTTGAGACCTGTGGAAAGGTCTTAAAATGGCTCTTCAGTTCTGCAGAAGTGGGTACTTGGGTACCTTGAATGCATCTGTTTCATCCGTTCTAAGATTTTTGCTTTTGTTGTTTCTGAATCTCTAATTTCCTGTTACACTGTGATTTCTCTTTGTGTGATCAGCCCTCTTTTTTCCCCAATGTCTCTAACTTCTGTTTTAAGTAATTTTCACATGTGTATTTAGAAGCCTTTCAAGCAGTTTGCAGTCTCTTTATCCAGTGGCTCAGGATGCTGTCATCATTTGGAGCATGTTCTTGCTGAAAGGAATGGCATATTGTGGGTTAAGATCCCAAATCGACTGGGGAAAAGAGGAAAAATTAATCCCCAAAGTGCTCATAATTATAAGTTGCATCAAGTAGTGAAACTGTGTAAAGGATTTATCCATTCTGGAGTTTATATACTGTTTTGGGTGCTGTAGATTGCTCTGGTGTTTAAAGAACTTTTGTTCTTTTTACCTGGTACAAAACATCTGGTGAAACGTTCTTAATTTTCTGCAGTATTGATGTAGTACTTGTTTTAATGTAGGAACTTCATTTTCCATGTAGCAGATTTAATGGTTTTGTTTGTGTTAGTGGTCAAACTTGATCTTTAAGTTCTGTGTTTGCAGTTAACAAAAGGCACTTACAGTACTACGTGCACCCAGTGCAGAGTGGGACTTTTGGTGCAGACTGACTGTAGCTCCCCTAGATGTGATTGGCAATTGATCTGAACTTCTGCATGAAGTTAGTATAGACTGTATGAGATGTAGTTGTTTTTTTGTTTTTTCTCCTTTAGATTTTATGTTAATCAAAGTTTATGAAACAGTTTGCCACACTTGTATTTCTTTTGTATGACTTTAGAGAAGAAGAGAATAAACTTTCCTTTGAACCATACCTGAGGTTCAAAGGAATTGAGCAGTTTTTTACCTGTAAATGAAATAACACAAGTAACATGGTTGATCAGAACATGGGAATAAACTGGGAAAGCTGCAGCTTAACATGCACAGATAGACTGGGGGGCTCTAGAGTTGGGCAATTTGGAAATGAGAGTTTGTTCTGGGCTATATGCATGTTATCCTTTTGGTGAGATGTTCTTATCGCTTTTCTCTTCAATTTAACACAGGTACTTCTTCAAGCACTGGGCAGGCTGGATCTGCAACCACTTCAAAATACTATGATGACATTTACTTTGATTCTGATTCAGAAGATGAAGACAAAACGGGTAAGGAGCTGAGAGAGAAGACAGCATCTTCAGAGTAGTACTGTATCTCAGATCCAGTAGAATCCTCTCAGGGCATCAGAGGCTATTCCCCTTTTGGGGGCAGTTACCAGCCTGTGTAGTCTCAACAAAGTTCATGCAAGTTTATGATGTGTCCCAATGTATGTAAGGTGCTTTAGTCCTTCGGGGTGGTCTATTCAGAGGAGGGATAAATTAGATATTTGCAAGTTAGTTTACATTTATTGCAGGTATTGAAAATGAAAATTGAAAAAATTACTTGTTGATCAGTTGAGTAGAGAATCATCATATGTCTAACCAGTGGAACCTGTGCTTGCCTAAATCTCTACAGTTATACAGCAAGATGTCCAGAAAAAAAGAAAACATCAGCAACGTCGGATTCTTACCAATGACGAGCTGCTATATGACCCAGAAGAAGACAGTCGAGACCAAGAGTGGGTAGACTCACAGAGGAGGAGGTAAGAAACTGTAAATAATTATAGGATGTTTACCATAAACTGAAAAATTCCAGTAAATATGCTGAATGTATAGAAAAACCCTATACTGTCAAGTTCACTCAGTGCCTTAGAATTTACAGCACAGGGAATTTAAAAACTTGTAAAACTTCTGCATTTATGTATTGGAAATAGTCTCTTTAAAGTGATAGTATGCTAAAACATGCAGTTTTTCAAAATCAAAATTTCTGAGTTCACTAAGCCAGTTTTGTCTATAGATCTTATAAAAATAACTATGATGTTGATGAAAAACTCGTAATAAGAACAGCTCAAAACTGCTTTACTTGAGGTTTCTTTGAAGGGTGAAAAGTGCTTGTTGCAGCAGAGAAGAGACGTAAATCTGTTGAAAAGCACATCAATGTATGTTATCTACAGAGATTGTTCTTGAGACACCTGTCTTCTCCAGGAAAATGATTATTGAGCACAAATCCACATCAAAAGTATGCACATCTCTGGATGAAAATCCATACAAATGAAATGGAAAAATATTTGAGTGTGGTTTTTCCCCATTGTGTTTATATTTATGTATATGTCATATACATATACATATTTCAGTTAGTGAAAAGCTGTTGAGAATGAGACAGGTATTTACCAATGTATTTTAATTTAAAATATATTTGAAGGTCAAATTGATGGGCAAGGATGTGTAATTTCACTTTTTTTTTATCCTTCCTCATTTCATTCGGTAGATACCGTAATCAAAGAAGAGTGCTGCAGCCACAACAGTCAAAACCTTCATCTGTTCCAAACAGTGATGCTGTTTTAAATTGTCCTGCTTGCATGACAACTTTATGCCTGGACTGTCAGAGGTAATTAGTGAACAATCAGAAGTCTTTCTGTAATGTCTCTCTTTGAGTCGTTTGCAGTTTTAGTGTGTTCAACACTTTGATTAATTCTGTCTTGCAAAGTGGAGCTTATAAAGAGAAGATGGCTGTATGTGAATCAGGTGTGTGGGTGAATACCAGTTTAAAAGAATGATGGTGATCAGTTTAACCTGCACCATGGAGATGAAGAAGAACAAGAACGAACCTCTAATTTATTGAGTACTTTTGCTGATTGAAGGTGAAATTCTCCAGCAGCCTGAAGTTATCTCAGTGCTGGGTGCTGTTTCTCAATCTCTTTCCTCTTTCCTTTGCTGGT